TAAGTCTAGCCGTGTAAGGTAGGCCCAGCGAACGCCGAGAACGGAGATGTGTTTACTAACCAATAGGATTTCTGCCTAATTTCCTAGAAAAGACCTGCCGCGATCTAATGAGGCCACGATTCAATTCATTAGATTGAAACTTCTATGATGCGCACCCCTCTTGGAAGAATGGCATAAGTGGAGTCACGTCAAACATGTTTATTGCTCCATTAGATACACAAAAATATAACTCACATCCTCTCCAAATCAGGTAACTCTATCTACAATATTAATCGATAGAGTTACAAGAATTGTAGAAGATGTGGTTTATATTTTTCTGTATTGAATGGAGCAATAAAAAATTTTGACGTAACTTCACTTATGCCATTCTTCCATGAGGGGAGATTACATTAATACAGCCTGCCTCTTAACTGAGCCGGTGTCTGAGGTAGCTGCGCGGTGCGGGAGGAGTGATAGTTGACGTAACAGTTATGTCGCGCTGCATTTCAACAAGATTTTTCTGACGATATTCACCAACTCACATCCTCTCCAATTCTCAATTGGAGAGGATGTAGGTTACATTTTTCTGTATCTAATGGAGCAAGAAACATTTTCGACGCAGCTTCACTTATCCCATTGTTCCATGAGGGGTGGGATATCTGGAATCAACGAAACTAGATCCACAACCCCCAATAAGCGGTTTTTTTATATCTTATTTAGTTTCAATTTTATTGTGAAGCTAAAATAGAGTAATTGACACTTCTCAAAGAAAAAAACACTAGACGCCAATACCTCGTTATGACAAAGAGGGCAGAATGGATGCCGGTTATTACGAATTAAAACCTCAAAAAAAAATTTTTTTTATACATAACGGAAGTCATCAATAAAAAAAATCCCTTCGGAGGCTATGTATATAGAGCCTAATTGGATACGACTAGAGAAAGATGTATAACAGTGGCCGAAATGTAAATGTAGCAACGCTCTCGTAGGCACCCAAAGCGTGAAAATATATATCCTATTGGTTGTTTCAGCACATCACTAATCATCAACACAACAGACACACTGTCGACAATGTTATAATTTCTCAAATACATACAATCATGTACAATAACAATACAATACAAGGCAATTTTTTGGGACAATTGTTTTTATAAGTGAGGAGTATAGTTTTTATATTCTGAAATTCATAGTTAGCACATTTATTCGGTTTAGAAGATATGCGCGAGCGCATGTGCCGAGTGTTTATAGATTACGAGACTAAACCCGCATAAATGTACTAACCGAGCTATTTATTACACGTAAAAATATGAAGCGACCGAATTGTTTGAAAATAACAAGGAAAAAATAAATAAAATGTCGATATTCAATTTGGATTCTATAAACGCAGTTGTTGTTTTAAATTTTAATAATTTTTAATATAAATTTACTGAGATACCTTTATTTTTCAAATTACCTACTAACTAATAATAATAAATTGATGTAAAATGATTTGTACAATGACAAACAAAATGATTTGAAACAAAAAAAAAAGAAAACATTTTTGCAACAATTACATTTTTTATTTAGTATTAACATTTATACAGGGTGATGGCAAAAGTTGACGGCGGAAAAAGCTTTACGTTGATCTTTTTCGTTCTTAGTACACGGACGTAAAACTTGTACTTGTGACTACCATACTGCATGGAACTGATCGTAGTACGGAACAACTATGACCTGACCAGGGCACCAAGTCTGCTATTTTGTAATTCCATTGAGATAATATTGCAATTATGATAATATTTGTTATTCTGTTAAAATCTAGTTGCAATGATAGTTGAGACTCAATAGTGTCAGTGGAATGACAGTGTTGGCATTTATTCATTCAATTACCAACGATCGATATTGCCCTACTAAAACTGACATGGAAATTACTATGCATATCTTAATATTTATCTCGTTTAATCACCAACATAGCGCCCAGTTACACGAGAAGAAAGTTTTCGCGCGGCCGCCGCGCGGCGACCGCCCAGTTGCCACGCCTTCATGTACATTAATGGCGAATTTGAATTCTATTCTATTTATTATGCAACATTTAAAGCGCGGGCCGCCGCGTAGACCAAATTCAAGCTAGGCTAGCCCGCGTGTCAGAACGCTCATTTAAACGTAAAAGCTAAACAAATAGAGCGTGTTTTGCCATGACAGTTAGACGCACGCGATCGCTGCGCGGCAGCAATGCGGACTCCGCTCGGCGACCGCGCGGTGTGAGCGCGATGACATTCGTGTAGAATAAATGCGCCCAAGTCTTCAAATTAAAAGTATTTTTTTATGTCAACTAATTTATAAACGCCATAGACTCGGGATTGAAGAGATTACCAACACAGACAACAATAGATTACCAAAAAATTGCGATGGCAGTTAAATAGTAACAGCGTCTGTGGCCGAACGGTTACCATACTGGACTGTTACGCAGGGGTCCTGGGTTCGATTCCCAGGCCGGTAGAAATATGTACATGGCCTACATTTATTTCTCTCGTGAGTTTGGGTGTAATTTGTAGTTGTTTATGTGAGTATCCATGGCATCCGCGATACAGGATTACCCTAGTGCGGGGCTAGCAATTGACAAGCCACTACTCTTATTTTTTTGCAGAATACCAAACGTACCAAATTCTGCCATTCACTCTCTTATGACACAACTGAGATGACTAAAATTAGCAGATTTGGGGTTCATACAGATTACATTTCATTTTACAGTTCATCATTTTAGTTCGTACATTTCAGTTCTTCCATTACGGAAGAACTGAAAACCCTTAGAAGAGACACGGGTCTACAATCTCTAAACAGCAGTCAGATACATCAATAACTTTTACTTGATTAATCCATTTGAAAATCTACTTTATCCGAGTCTCTTTCGTTTGTACAATAACTTCACCAAAAAGTTAAAAAGCATCATGTATTATCGGATGCTGACTAGCAATAATGCATTAACCCATAAAAAACTGAAAACTGAGATTTTAATACCAAATTGTAGCATGTCGTCTCATCTATATTTTATACACATAAACTAAATAATTTGAAATCTCCATGTTTTAAAAAAAATTTAAAATACGGTTGACATAAATCAATCAACCAAACAACGAAATAATCTTTAAACGCTATTTTTTCAAAACTATGATCATGTTGATTGACACGTTATCCAATTGCTTAAGTAGCTTACGAAAATTAATCATATGAGTCACGACATAGATCATCAAATCCTGGATCAATTTATGTAAATAAAGTTTCTGCATCAAAATTGTAAATGTTTCCTCGTGTTAAAGTACCTTTTGCTGCCACCCTGTATTTTACAATTACTCTAAAAACAAGCCCTTATTAAAAGCAAAGCAAAATTGTTTACTTAATTCTGTTACCGCAATTTTTCATCAGTCAATTGATTCCACAAAAATTCAAAGCATCAAAATATTGACTAGCCAAAACCTTACGAATTCATTGGCAAAAAACTAGGCTAATCCAGAACACCCAGGCCAGGATCAATTTAGAAAATTTAATTTCTCAAACTGGTTCTACTGGGACCTCATCCACAATACAAACCATTGGAACACAAAGGTCTTTCTACTTTTGCTCTCATTCGATCTTTACTACACCTATACAGAGTTATTTTTAATATATTAAACAACCTCGCAGGACTATACTACTAAAATCATAAACGTCGTGGACCGATGTTGACGATTCTTTTTTTGTAGGAAAGAGGGTACCTCAGTATTGGTCCCATTTAAATTTGAAGAAAATATTCCTCCTCTAAGAGTCGTATTCCAGAACTTTACTCAATACTCAAGTCAGGACTTGAGTATTGCAACGAGCACTGAAAATCATACTCAAGTCCTTGCCATTAGAGTCGTATTTCCAGTGCTTGAAATCATACTCAAGTCTGCTCAAATCCTGACTTGAGCATTGAGTAGAGTTCTGGAATACGACCCTAAGGGTGGCAAACTAAGGGGTGAATCCTGTTTCGCGCACTTTCCGGTATCCGATTTCAATAACACTTGTACAAAAAATTGTACGAAAATTACTAGTGATACGGCTGCAACAACAAGCGCTGTATAAGAGTTTAATTTGAAAGCGCGCTAAACGGTGACAACTCTGTGCGGTAACAAAAGAAAATAAGTACCAGACTGATGCCAAACGCAGGAGCGGGGGTGAGGTTGTTTGGGAGGACGATTGCACGTCAGACCTTACTACCACACACAAGTCTAGACAGTGTCAGATGGTACGATAAAAACTTACTTTATTTTTGGCAAATATGTTTTGTAAGAACAGAATGGATATACCCAAAGATAGAAAACGACCATGCGGCAGGGCAAAGCGTCGATGGAGAGAATGGACCTCTGTGGCGTAAAGCAGAGAGGTGTGGTAAGAGAGGAGGGAGGCCTTTGCTCAGCAATGGGACTGTAAAGACTTTTAAAAAAAGTTTAGAGGTTGTTAGATTTTACAAATAACCCATGTATAGCTATTTTGTTTACATGAAAATTAAAAACAAATAAAAAAGGAATAACTCTCCTTTGAACGACGACGAGCATATATACACGTTACAAAATTACTATTTTACTAAACAGTATATTCAACGCCTGTTATAAAGACTTTCATTCTTATTCACACTATATTGTTTAATTATACACAATCCGGATTATTAAACAAAGCTCAAGGCCAAAGCCTTTTCAAATTAGTGTTCTCTTGCATAGATGATATCGACTTTAAAAAAAAATTGTGTAACTAATTTTTTTTCTATTTATATAGTCATTTAGGGAAGAGGGGCTCGAAGCTTTTATTCATAGTCTCTACAGTCTCTTAGTAGATAAAACAGACAATCAAATTATACTCCGTCCAACCTTTTATTTAACATTTGACAGCTCGAATTCCAATCAATTAGTGATGTCCTAACGCAAACGCATTTCCGATTAGATTTT